TACCTAGACACAGGAGAACTATTGTCGTGAAAGTGTTGTACAGTCGATTACGAATTTAGATTGCAGAGAGTTTGTTCTGAGCGCTAAAGGCACTCACGATAGAGCACATTTTGCTTTATTCTAACATGCAGCTCCGAATTCATCATTTGGATCGTGCGCATGAGGTCCACCCGAATCTCGCCTGGTTTCTTCTCAATTGCAAAGTTGAGCAAGTGGCACCACTGGGCTGGGACAAATCCTGTAGCAAAAGGGATGGAGCGAAAGATCGTGTCGCAGTGAATTGAATCCGCCGTGTCGAGTTGACTCGATGGACTAGAATGAATGGCTATCGCCAACCAATAGCTTATAATTTTGATTATCTCCCTTTTACAACACTGTAACTAGACAAACCCCTTTATCGCTCTGTTATCGTTCAATAACGGGCACATTAACTCAGTTCATCAGACCCAGCGCTGCTGTACTGCTCGATAGCAACACCAGCTGACCTGCCTGCAATGGCAAATGTCCAAGTCTGTGGGAGACTTTAAAAGACCTGTTGACCGACAAGTCAACGTCAGGGTACCTATTGCTGAATTACACCTTGTTATGATCGACTATCATACAATAGGTGCGCATAGGATACATTTCACTCTATGAAGTGTAAGATCAGACAAAATCCAACCTTGAGGGGACGCTTTCAAAGGTTGGAGGGAGAGCCAAAGCGCCTGGATCCGAAGATCCGGCACTACGCGTCGATACGCAGCTCGTTTGGAGGGAGAAAGATCTGCGATTAATTTATATATTTCAGCGATCCCAATCCGCCAACACGCCCACAGGACCGTTTAAAATAAATCCGTTTTTATATACGCCGACTCGCGCGCAAGCCAAACAAACGTTCATATCATTCGCCAAAACCCACACAAAATTCATCTGTGCTGACAGAAAATCCATTTTCAACACGAAACTCAACAACAACAGTTCCAACCCTCATCTCCGATTCAACCATGGCCGAACCAGCAATCCTGCGTCAACTCTTTGTCCGAATCAGACTGACTCAAGCCGTTGCCGACACTATGGTGGACGATCACAATATCAACAGTACTGCAACTCTGACCAAGATCAAACCTGACACTGTCAGCAAACTTGTCAAGACCCTTCGACACCCAGGAGGCGGTGGGAATGGCCACGTGATCCCGTTCCAAGTGCAGCAAGGCATGGCTCCTCAAACACCGCGTCCGCACCTCTCGCGATCCAGCTATTCCGACCATTGGCCTCCCTGTCCTAACTGACGAACTTGAGATCTACAGAGATCATGAAGAACAATGGACCGAACCAAGCTCCCTCGATATCGAAATCACCCGCAACGACTGGAACAAAACGTTCCGTACCATTGAAGAATCGCTTACAAACTTCAAAGGAGTCCACGGTTGCCCTTTGAGCTATACTATTCGTGTCGCAACTGCCATCCCAGCTGATCCGGACCCTTCAACCGATTATGCATCAATTGAGGACGAAATTATTGCCCGCGCTCCTATTGTCAACGCCCAAGGAGACTTTGTTGCTACATTTCGCACTGACAATACCACCCTCTGGAAACTTTTGAGTGCGCTAT